CCTCTGATCATACCACCTTTGAAGAACTGAAAATTTACAAGTCCCTAGAATTATCTCTGAAAACAACTGCACAAAACCCCCAAGTTTGGGACAGTACCTTCTCCATACAGGAAGCAGACCCCTACCTTAACAAAGAATTTAAAAGTCAAATAATTGGCTGGGATCATGAGCAAACAGTGCAAAAAAGGTCAGACCATAGAATCTTACTTTGGTGGCAAAGAAAATCAAAACATACAACCAGAAGAAGACAATAAAGTCAAAGCCCCTACATCCAAAGTCTCCACGAAAAATATGAATCAGAGAAGTAGAGGGAAAACTGGGAAAAGAAATGAGAATGATGGAAGAAAATCATGAAAAATAAATCAATAGCTTGCTAAAGGAGACCAAAAAAATACTGAAGAAAATAACACCTTAAAAAATAGACTACCCAAATGGCAAAAGAGGTCCAAAAAGCCAATAAGAAGAATGCCCTAAAAAGCAGAATTGACCAAATGGAAAAGGAAGTCCAAAAGCTCACTGAAGAAAATACTTCCCCTAAAAATTAGAATGGAGCAAATGGAAGCTAGTGACTTTATGAAAAATCAAGAAATTGTAAAACAAAACCAAAAGAATGAAAAAGTAGAAGACAATGTAAAATATCTCATTGGAAAATCAACTGACCTGGAAAATAGATCCAGGAGAGAGAATTTTAAAATTATTAGACTACTGCCATGATCAAAAAAAAGAGCCTAGACATCATCTTTCAAGAAATTATCAAGGAAAGCTGCCCTGATATTCTAGAACCAGGGGGTAAAATAGAAATGGAAAGAATCCATTGATCACTTCCTGAAAGAGATCCCCAAAGGAAAACCCCTAGGAATATTATAGGCAAATTCCAGAGTTCCCAGGTCAAGGAGAAAATATTGCAAGCAGCCAGAAAGAAACAATTAAAGTATTGTGGAAACAAAATCAGGATAACACAAGATTTAGCAGCTTCTACATTAAGAAACCAGAGGTTTTGGAATATGATATTCCAGAGGCAAAGGAGATAGGATTACAACTAAGAATCACCTACCCAGCAAAACTGAGTATAATCCTTTAGGGGGAAAAATGGATATTCAGTGAAATACAGGACTTTCAAGCATTCTTGATGAAAAGACCACAGCTGAATAGAAATTTTGACTTTCAAATACAAAACTCAGGAGAAGCATGAAAAGGTAAACAGGAAAGAGAAACCTTAAGGGACTTATTAAAGTTGAACTGTTTACATTCCTAGATGGAAAAATGATATTTGTAACTCATGAGATGTTTGTCATTATGAGGGTAGTTGGAGGGAAAAAAATACATATGTATATATAGATAGAGGGCACGGGATGAGTTGAAGATAAAGGTGTGATATCTAAAAAATAAAATTAAGGGGAGAGAGGATCATACTGGGAGGGAAAAGGGAGAGGTAGAATGGGGTAAATTATCTCACAAAAAACAGACAAGAAAAAGCCTTTACAGTGGAGGGAAAGTGGGGGAAGGTGAGAGGGAATGAGTGAATCTTATTCTCATCGAATTTGGCTTAAGGAGGGAATAACATACACACTCAATTGGGTATGGAAATCTATCTTACCCTACAGGAAAATAGGGGGGAAAGGGATAAAAGAGGGGGAATGACAGAAAGGAGGATAGATTGGGGGAGGGGGTAATCAGAAGCAAATACTTCTAAATAGGGACAGGGTCAAAAGAAAGAACAGAATAAATGGGGGGGAGTGGGATAAGACGAAGGGAAATATAGTTAGTTTTTCACAACATGACTACTATGGAAGTGCTTTACATGACTACACCTGTATAACCTGTATCAAGTCGCTTGCCATCTCAATGAGGGTGGGTAGAGAGGGACAAAGGGACAGAATTTGGAACCCAAAGCTTTAAAAACAAACGTTAAAAAATTGTTTTTACATGCAACTGGGAAATGGGGTATAGAAATCTATCTTGCCCTACAAGAAAATAGAAGGGGAAGGGATAAGGGGAGGGTGATAGAAGGGAGGGCAGTTTAGGGGAAGGGGTATTCAGAATGCACGCCATCTTGGGGTAGGGGAGGAGCAAGACGGGGAGAAAATTTGGAACTCAAAATTTTGTGGAAATGAATGTTGAAAACTAAAATAAATAAGAAAGAAAAAAGAAAGAAAGAAAGAAAGAAAGAAAGAAAGAAAGAAAGAAAGAAAGAAAGAAAGAAAGAAAGAAAGAAAGAAAGAAAGAAAGAAAGAAAGAAGGAAAGAAAGAAAGAAAGAAAGAAGGAAAGAAAGAAAAGAGCAAGGGTTGGGAGCTTGAGGAGAGAGGTCAGTATCAGTGACTCTGAATGATATAATAGAGTTGAGAAGAAATGGATAAAAAAGATTGCCAGGCACCTGTGAGGACACAATTGATTTTTAAAGGATCCTATTTTTTTTTAATTCCTCCAGTGACACAATGTTCCTCCAAAGTAGGACAAAGAAGGTAGTTAGAGAGGAGAATCCAGGATTGGGGATGAGCAGGGAAGGAACAGTAGAAGTTTAAAGTGGCAAGGAATTCAAACATTGATGAGCATCTATCTTTTAATTAGCTTGCCAGAGGAACAAGCTTGTGAAGGATGAGAAGCAAAGTAGAGTAAGGATAATGGATGTGAAGAAAAGAGAAGGGAAATCAAGGGACTTGAAGTTAGGATGAAAGTGAAAATCAAGTTCAGGACTGAAGGTTAGGAGAAGTAGAAAGAGAGGTGATTGTGACCAGAGATGGGAATATCAGAGTTTAAGATACTGAAGGAAAAGCAGTTTTGAGTGATGGTGATTTCTAAGGTATGACATCCCCAATAGGCAGTTGAGATATCATTGAGATAAGGGGCAGCTAGGTGGTGCAGTGGATAGAGCACCGGCCCTGGATTCAGGTGGACCCGAGTTCAAATCCAACCTCAGACACATAACACTTACTAGGTGTGTGACCCTGGGCAAGTCACTTAACCCCATTGCCTAGCCCCCCCCCAAAAAAAATTAAGAGATATCATTGAGATAGAAGCAGAGATGTACTGGAGTTGGCTCATACTGGCTTGTGTGAGCCAGTTGTTAAATTTATAATGTAACCATTTACATCTCAGAAGTCAGCAAATATTACAAATAAGGGCTTGACTTATTATTTTGTTGATTGTTGATTTTGAAAAATTATGGACAAAATGTGAATAATGTAAATTAAACTTTAAAGTGTGCCAGTAAAACAAAAAAAAAAGCTAAATTTGATCCTGGAGGTAACAGAGAACTGTTGGAGTTTATTGAATGGAAAGGTGTAACATGGTTACACCCATACTTTTAAGATCACTTTGACAGCTGAAAGAAAAAGAGATTGGAGTGGGGAGAACCTTGAAGTCAAGAGAACAGCCAGAAGGCTACTGCAACAATCTATATGTAAGAAGGTGGTAGAAGTATCATAGGAGAGAAGGGTGTGTATAAGTGATATGTTGGGAAGTAGAATTTTCTGAATTTGAAAACACATTGGCTACAGGGGTGAGAGACAGTGAGAGGTATGGAAAGACCTCCTACGTCACAAGCCAGGGTGACTGGAAGGATGGTGTTGCCCTGGAAAACAATAGAGAAGTCAGAAGAGGGGCAGATGGGGATGAGAGAGGGGGAGAATTCCATTTTGGATATGTCGAGTTGAAGATACCTCTTCGGCTCAGTTTCCAAACACATTGCCTACCTGTGTCTTTCTTTGGTCATATCCCAATTTGACTGGAATCCCCTCACCTCTATTCCCTATCCTATTAAAAATCTTTCAAGGTTCAGTTCAAATGTAACTTCCCAGTACGAAGTTTTCCCTGATTACTCCCTGCTCATAACGATGACCCCCTTCTCAATCTTTGCCACATAATGGGTGATGTCATTATTTGTATTTTGTTCTGTGTTTTATCTCCCCTACCAAATATATGTTCCTTGACAGTAGTGTCATATTTACCTTCCTATTCCTCTCACCACCTAGCACAGTGCCTTGCACATAATCGGAGGTGGAATTTTAGATGGGACTTGAAGGAAGCCGGGGAAGACAGAAGGAGGATCTGAGGAGGGTGAGCAAAAATGTTCAATAAATGCTTATTGAATAAACAATTACAGTTTAATAGATTCCAAATGTTGATGCCTGTTCTGAGGTATTCCAAGTCCGAGTAGCTATTTTCAAAAAATAAAAAACCATCTGTTTTAACTTTGTTTTAGGAGTTTAGGTGGTTTAGGGAGAGATGTTAATTTCTAGACATATTTTGTATGTTTCATGGTCTTTGTTGACTCATATTTCTTCATCAAATTTGTATCTCTGACGAGCATGTATGCCCACCTCTGTATTACATTACATCTGTAATTGCAAGCTTTCTATTCTCCCTCCAATTGCTTCTTGGCATATGTCCTTCACTTAGTTCTCTCAAAGGAGCAGAATCATAGGGATGATGGTGGATGTTGTTTCACACTCCTGGTTAGAGAAGCAGTCTAAAGATTTCAGGTGGTCTGACTTAGTAGGGAAGGAAAAAAAAAAAGACCTGGACAAAACTACTACCATTGCCTTCCTTTCTCCCTGTAGCAAAAAATCTTCCATTCTCTCCCCTGAACCCCATACCCCCAACTGACCCTTTGGAAAATGCCCATTCGCCTAAAGAATCTAGAAATGCTATTCCTGAGGTTGGAGGGAGGGCAACAGTACCAAGAAATGAGGTCTCCCGTTTTTCCTCACTGTTCTGTATCACCAGACCTCTCTCTCTCAAACACCAATAGGTTTTAGGCACGGGGGCTAAATAGATGTAGGGACTTTCTGGGTCCTTGATAAAGCAGAGAAAGAGGAGAGCCGTCTTTCCTTGCCCTGAAGAAGCAAAGGGAACAGTAGGGTCACTGTCCACTGAATCTCGTTATGGGAAATAGTGCTCAGGTTGCAAGAAGGGAAAGAAAGTTAGAGGAAGAGAAGGCAGTGGGAGGGGATGGGAAACTGGGCTGGGCCAGGAGGGGCTGCCCAGTGGGTGTGAAAGTGTGGAGGGGGGGGAGGGAGTTGAAATGCCCATCACTTTGGGAACCGTTGGAAAGTAGCACTTCCGCTCCACTCCTGGTGGAGCCTCACGCCTCCCTGACCAGTCATGGCAGACAGCTCAGACAAAGTGCCCATCGCCCTAGCAGGCCCAGAGGACGTGGAGCAGTGTCGCCCACCCGTGAGTACTGCGCCTGGAGCGCTGGGACAGGAGCATACAGCCAGGCCTAGCGTAGAGTTGTCAGGGCGCTTGATGTAGGGTTGTGTGTGACTCTGCTTGGGTCCGGTATCTGCATGTATTTGAATGTGCAAGGGGGCATAGGAAAGCCATCGGACTGAACCCATGGCACAAGTGCATGGGGAGGGAGGGGGGATCCGTGTACACACCATTGTGCGTGGGAGTGCAGGTTTCAACAGATCCAAGGGCAAAGTGTGCTTGTTACTGAGGCACCCATGTTCGTGGTTAACCTCAAAGTTTCCCCACTCAGCAGGAAGGAACCGAAGGGGAAAAGGAACCCCTGTGGGGTGGGGAGGACACTGTATTTGAGCCCCGGGCCCCTCGACCCTTACCAGGCTCCCCGCGCGGTGCCCCAACAGGCGAGGCACAGTGTGGAAGCCGTTTCTTCTGCCCTCCCCCTTCCGCAGGCGTACACAGCTGTGGCAGTGAGACCCTCCAGCCCCGGGCGGCTGCTCAAAATCGGAGCCGTGGTCCTTATATCCGGGGCGCTGCTGCTGCTCTTTGGGGCCATCGGCGCCTTTTACTTCTGGAAGGTGAATGACAAACATGTGAGTCCTGGGGTGCCGCGGGCAAGCGGGGAGCGAACTCTTTCTTGCTCCGGGTCCGCCTGGTACGCCAGGTGCGCTGGGATCCCAAGGCACCGCGGAGTTGGAAGTTGTCAGTAGTGCGGTTGGGCGCGGGGAGGTCTGGACCCTTGTCAGCTACGCCCCGAAGCCGCCCCTGGGAGGAGCCCCAAGGGCTTGCATAGGAGCCCGATAAATTGGTTAAATTCCAACAGAGATGAGTTTTATGGTCTTAGGGAATTTATGAATACTAAAAGAAATTACTGTAATGGAAAGAGGGGCTGCATTAAGACCTAGGTCATGGTCCAGGCTCTGAGATTCATTTACTGTATGACCTTCCACAAGCGACTTAATTGCTCTGGGACTATTTCCTCATCTGTAAAATGATAGGGTTGGACCACATCTTTGAGTTCTAAAGGGTTCTGACTATTCTAGCTCTGAAGGATTGTGATCCTAAGGGAGTTAAGTCTAATGTGAAGTAATGAATGTTCCAAAAATTAGATGATTGCTCCAAGTGTCTTTAAAGGGAGCATCCAGAACCAGGTATTGGAATGAACTTAGCCTTTCAAGACAGTTTCATCTGACTTCTGCAGCAACTTCCCCTTCTTCCTCAAGTGCAGGAAGAAAATAGAGGGCCCTTAAAGATGTTAAATAATATTTAAAAATCAATTCTTCCTTCGGTTTTATAATAAATGTTCCACCGAACTGCCTCCCTACTTTATTTGTATACAAATATTTATTTTCGTAAGAGTCCAAGAAACAACATTGTTTCAAACTTCGCTTGGAAGAGTCCCAATGTGTATTTTAAAGGGCAAGAATTTTGTTCGCCTATGTAAAAAGGGTATTTTATCTCAATAACTATTGGACATGGTCTAACGTGAGCTTATTTCTAGTAATGCGGAGAGGGGAAGAGAAAGAAGGGGGAAAGAGAGAGAAGTGGGAAATCCATCTCCATCCGCAGCCCATACAAAGGACTGTTTCTTAATCATTCTCCAGAGATTTTTTACTCCCTACTCTGCCTCCTTCACTACCTCCTCTTCTCTTGATCCCTCTCTCTACTTCCTTTTCCCTCCTCCCCCTCTCCAGGGAATTCAAAGCATGAGCTATTTCCAGTACTTAGAGAAAACGGGTGCAGAAAGCAAACCAGCCATTTTGCACCTCACATCATCTTCTACAGACATTGCACAATTTGTATTCTTAAATCCACGGCCTAATGCAGATAACCAACCACGCCAAATATCATCGAATCTATTGTAGGGGCAACATCAAAATTTATAGCATCATTCTGTAAGATGAGAATGGTAGTGTTTACTGTGTATTTGTATTTGAAATGTAAAAACTGGACCACATGCTCCCATTTTAAAGCAGGAGTTCTGGACGGAGGAATGGATTTCAACATGTAAATCTCTACCAAATATTGAGTCTCCCCTTTGGGAAGCTTTATGGTATTTGACTATAAATTCATACTTTTAGATAAAAAGGGTAAAGAAATAAATATCCCAAGTCTCACTGTCATATCATGATAAAAATAACTGGATTTTATGTAGTTGGACTATGCTATGTATTAAAACTAATTATGCCACTTAGCACTTAATTAAGAAAAATATTTGTAATTCACAAGATTCTAAAATGAGAGGATAAAGCATCATACGCAGTAAGCGAAGCTTATTCATGTCTTATTTGGTCACACGTTGATTAGTTTTGTTTCATGAAAATAATGCTAAGAATTCCCAGAAATAGTGAAGTACTTAACTGTCAACAATAAAAGCTACTTTTAGCATTTTAGCAGGATCATCAAGAGAATCATGGTGTATTCTTATTTTATTTCTGTAAAACCCTCACTGGAGCCTTATATACTTGCAAATGTATATTATATAGATATGAAAGATTTTGAACACAATACTTAGTAGAGTCTCCATGTTTCTTGGATTCATCTCTTTCTACTCACGAAGCTATAATCCTAAATCAAACTCTCGTTACCTTATTCTTGGACCATTGCAAAAGCTTCTTACTTGCTTCCCTGTATCAAGTATCTCTACGCTTTCCAATCTATCCTCCACCATATCATACTTATGTTCAAGAAGCTTCCCAAGGGCCCTATTGCCCCTAGAATATAATACCAACTCTCTTGTTTGGTCTACACAGTCTGACTCCAACTCATCTTTCCAGGATTTTCCTGCCCACTCAACCTTCAAGCCAAACTGGCCTCCCTGATGCTACCGTACCCTGTCTCCCTTTTCCCACTTTTTGGCCATTGCATAGGGTAGCCTTCAAGCCTGGAATGCTCTCCACCTCCTCACCTCTTGGAATTCCCAGGTCCCTTCCAAGACTCAGCTCAGGTCACTTACACAAGGTCTTTCCAGATCCTCAGTTGCTAGTGCTTCATTCACTCTCCCAGCCTCACCTAATTACTTTTTATTTTGTATTTACTTATCTGTATACCTGCTGGGGGAGGGAGACAGCTCCCCATTTCCCTATAAAATGTAAATTCATGGTGGGTCAGGAATCTCAATTTTTTTTGTCTTTGTATCTCCAGTACCTGGCACATAGTAGGCACTTTATGATAACTTGCCGAATGATTTACATGTATACAGAGACAACTGTGTACTGTATATATTCACAGCAGATTTTCAGTTCCAGGTCTGCTTCCTATTAACATAAACTAATTTTAACAGTCCAAGCAAAAGTTTAATTGGGAAGGTACATTTGCTGTTTTAAAAGACATTCTAAAATTAAAAAGATTATCCATACCACTGCTCCCCTCCAATGGTATGGATAGATGAAAGTTGACTATAACTCAGCTAGGGTCCTTTTCATACGGATCTGTTTCCTATGTTTATGCCATTTTAATTTGGATTAAATGGTGCTTTGGGTGCTAAATAAGTAGTGATTGGTCTCAAATATGGACTTGTGCATCCTGAAATAAGCTATAAAAAGTGGGCAAAACTGAAAAAAAATGGCAATTCTCTGGATATGAAACATCAGGTTACTCTACCCCCAATAACAATAGTAGCAACAAATAATATATTTAGGTTCTTTCTTCATAGACTTTTTTTTTCAAATGATCTCTGGTTACAGCAATCAAATCAATCTTGTATATGCTTTGTTAAAAGCAGCTATTTGCATTTTGGAAGACACCAGTATTGAGGCAAACAAGACAGTTCATGGTCCTTACATAGCAATGGTCTTCAGTTTCTAAAAACACAAAGTTTTTACAAAGCTCTTCGTGAGTCCAGAGACCGCACTGGAACCCAATGCCATGTTTTTATAGCTCAACCCTTCTTGCTCCTTTATCAACTGCTATTCATACTGGATTCAAGCAATCTGTCTCTAAAACTTACCATAGCTCAAATAAGATAAATGTATGTAAACTCTAAAGCTATACAGATATCTTATCACTATTATTTATCTGACCTCTGATTGTTATTGTAGGGTAGGGAACCCCCAATGTAGAAACTTTTGCCAACAAAGCAGATGTGTAACTGTTCTGCAACTTATCTTCAGTTTCCTGGGGGCCCTAGCCCAACCAGTATGTGTCAAAAGCAAAACTATATCCCAGGGCTTCCACACTCAGAGGTTAGCTCTCTATCCATTGTATCAGGGGAAACCAGCTTATATTAGTAGTATCCATGTTGTGTCTCCTTATCGTCCTATGTTTTTATGATTATTAATGCCTCTCATCTCATTCTCATGTTGTTATTTATCCAAGTACCAGGAAGTGCTGATTCAGCAAATGAAAAGAACCAAAGCTCACCTATAGAAGTGAGGACTGTGTGTGCATATGTGGGTTCGGGCACCAACAGTGAAGTGTGAATGAGAAATGTCTGAGCTGAGACCCCCCAGACAAGCTGTTGTACTCATTCAAGTCTTAGTTCCCTTTGTCACCAAAGTAGATCACAGACTAAAACAGGGGATCTTAACCTCCTTTAGTTGCCTGGTAAAGCCGATGGAGGCCTTCTCAGATTAATGTACTTAAATACATAAAATACATGGGATTACAAATGAAACCATTATATTGAAATATAAGTACTCTAACAACTTCATGAACCCCAGGTCAAGAGCCCTTGCATTAAAGTCTCAATGAATTCCTTACCATACCTTCTGTGCTCCTGATAATGAAAAATGTATGGTCCTTAAGGGCAAGGAGTGTTTCATTTTTGTCTTTGTATTCCCCAATACCTTTCACATAACAGGCACTTAATACACCTGTGAAGGTAGTCATGGTGCTAGTCTTCTTGCTCCTTTAAAATCCAAGCCATTGACATAAATTATATTAGCAAATTTGGGTCTACAAGGAAGTGATTTGCCCAAGGTCACATGGGTAACAAATGGCAGAGCTGGGATTCAATCCTAGTTATGCATCTGACTCCTAATTTAATACTTGCTCTGATATACCAAACTGCTTTAAATTACTAAGTAAAAATAAATTAATTAATTAATTAAAGAAACACACAAGATGATCCAGGAACATTATGATACCTGCTAATTTATCAAAGAGGAGTCTGGGCACCAATTCTGTCTGCAAAAACAGGGGATGAATGTGACTGCTAGTTCTATTCTAACAAAATCACACATAACAACACAATCTGAATGCCTTGGGAGTTCATTATAAAAAGAAATTCCCTGTACTGGTCTAATACAGACATGAAGATTGACCTTGCTTAAAACAAATGTGAGCTATATAACAAGCTCTAAGACTCTGTGATTCTGTAAAATCTCATATATTCTGTTTAACAAGCTCTAGGATTGTGATTCTGTAAAACACTCCAACAAGCAACATTTGTTAACCCTGTCTCTGTATTACTTAAAACCTATTCTTGATTAAGCCACTACTACTAATACAAGCTGGTTTCCCCCAAAACAGTACATCCCCCTGGGCATCTTGCCAATACCATTTCCCATTCAGCTGGAAGGGGAGCAGAACAAAAGACATTTTAGGTTTTTAAAGAACTGATTGAGGGATTAATGTGGATGAGGTTCTATCATAAATACATGTATAACTGTTAACGACAGATGTCAGGGGCCTTGGAAAAAATGTAAGTCATACTATATATTGAAGGGCTAAAGAGCCACTGATTGCTTTACAAAAAGAAAAGCACTAACTCCTTATATTCAATTCCAGATTTATAATGTCCATTATACCATGAGTATTAACGGAAAAATACAGGAGGGATCAATGGAAATAGATTCTGGGAACAACTTGGAGACCTTTAAAATAGGAAGCGGAGCTGAAGAAGCAACTGAAGTTAGTGATTTCCAGAATGTGAGTAGATTTGATCCATTTCAGAGATTTAATGATTCACTCCTTTTGGATTCTTCCAGTTCAGGCAGAAGCAGCATTTCATATACACAATCCAAGCAGTAAGTATATTTTTATGGAGAAATCTGTTACCAGCTTAGGCCATAAGCCTAGGTCTTTAAAAAAGCATGAATCAGATGGTGTAGTTCTACTAGTACTTTCTCCTCTTTTTTTTAAGCCTTCCATTGCTAATGCTGTTTGTTACCTGGCTGACTCCTCCAATTGTCAAAGAATTAGCTCAATGGAGTCATCATGTAATGCAACTAAAAGCAGCTTTTTATTTTCTCTTCATCCTGTTTCCAGGCACTTGTCTGATAAACTGGAGGAGTGATTGATGTAATTTTGCTTCTTTTAGCTCCCTTTGTTTTACTACCTGCTTGCTTAAATTGTTTGCTTAAACTCTGCATGGATTTGGGGGGGTGGGGTGGGGATAGTTTAAAAGAGGGTACAGAGAAGTGGTACAGAGAAGTGACAATATCAGTTACCAACATGATGTAGATGACAGTTCCCCTCCCCCCTCTGGGAGGGAGAGAGAGGAGGGGAGGTTACAAGAGGGAAGAAAAGGGGAAAATTGAGAAGTGGAAGGAAGAAGGAAAAGGAAAGGGAAAGGGTGAGGGGAGCAGGGAGGGAAGGCAACCTTTACTTCCCATAGGCATCCCCCATGGATTGTTTTATTTCAATACTCTACACAGTATAGACCACTAGACCAAACTCAGCTGTGACTCTGGGTTCTCAAAGGCTATGCTAACAGAACAAAGCTCTGGAGGTCCTACCACAACAAAGGGTTTCAATGGCTATGAGCTGTGGTCCAAAAGATGAGCCTGGCTAAGTATGGAAAATGCTCATCACCAGGGCGGTGTCAGGTTGATCAATTTTCTGGGCTACATTCTCAAAGACCAAATGATAAAGGGGTTTCAAGAGTCATCAGTGGAGGGCGAGACCCACACCCTCCTTGAAGTACTGAAATAACATGGTTGTAGTCTAGGCTCAATCACCTTAGACCTCAAGGCCCTAGAAAATACACCTTTTTGGGGTCCTCCAGGACCTTTCTCTTCGATCAATGAGGAAAAAGAAAAGGGAAGAGAGAAGAGGAAGAAGTGTGGAAGAGGAAGAAATGTGTGAGCATAAAGTCACTCTAAATTGATCCAAGTCATGCTTCAAATTCTACCTGAACCATCTTTAAAATCACAGGGATAAAGGGACCTCAGAGGTCAGCTGGTTTAACCCCTCATTTTGATAATGAATAAACTGAGGCCTATGGAGTTTATATGACTTGCCGAGATTATGGAGCAGCATTTGCGTCTTACCTCAGCTTGCAACCCTTCCCTGCAACCACTTTCTCTAGGAATAAAATCAAATCAATACTATTATTGCTACTGGAAAGTCTATTAGCTGCACTATGTCTCTGCTCACTGTGCCTATGAATTCCCAAACCAGTGCATCCCTCCTAGTCTATCTCTCCCCTATAGGTATTAAACTGTCTGCTCTAGAAATTTTAAATTCCTTAAGGGCAGGAACCATATGGCTTTTGTATTTGTATCCCTAGCATTTGGCACAAGGCAAATGCTTTTTTATTTATTTATTCCATTTATTCAAGAAGAGAAAGAAGAGGTCACATTCTTGAATTTAAAGTCTGCAAAGTGCTTTACTTATAACCTATGATGTAGGAAATAATCTCACTTTAGCTTTCCTCAAGCACTTGGAATTTTATGAATCCTGTTTTAAGCTATGAAATTTGTTTTTAGCCATAAAAACAAAACATTATAATAAACCTAAAATGCTGGATTCCACCACCCTCAACTAAGTATATAGACTTACCCACTGAACTTTGAAAGGTCAATCACAGCAACTTAACCACTGCTATGGACTGCAGAGCTGTGAGTTTTGTTACTGATGTAATTCCTGAGGTTAGTAAATGGACAAAGTAAAATCATTTTGAGAACAGGGTGTGGGGACAACACATCAAAGCTCTTGGGAAAGATTTAGGAAAATAGTTAACTATCTGGTTTTAGATTATGCTAATTTATTTACCCTTATCTCAAAGCCCTTTGGAAAGATCAGTTAAGGAACCAGTCTTCAATTATGTTGACTTAATTGCTCTTTAGTCCTCTTGTGGGATGTAAGTCTGAGACAAGGGCCCTGCTCCTTAGGGGTAGAAGAGATGATGCACAAAATAAACTGTAAACAATAAGGTTATATGTCATAAATGCAAAATTAATGATACAATGTACTACAGGATTCAAAAAGGGAAAGATAAGACCTGGCTAATGAGGTTCTGGGAAGGCTTCATGAAGGTGGTATCTGAACTCAAAGCTCAAGAATGCGTAGTGTTCCAAGAGGCAGAGGATCAGAGGTTATGCTAAGAGGTACTTAATTATAGGTAACCAACCACCAAAGATCTTTATTGTTGTTGTTGTTAGGGCATCACTGGAATCCGTTTTGCTGGAGGAGAAAAATGTTATATTAAAGTCCAAGTGAAAGCTCACATACCTCAGGTGGATGCCACAACTAAACAGAGCATCAGCTCAGAACTGGTAAGTAGCAACAAAGCAGAAGCCTGGTTCCCAATAATCTGTGGTAAAAAATCCTTCATCTTCAATCTCCTGGTCTTAGAAGACTGAACACAGGTCAAATTTCCACTTCTCTCTTAAAGGAAATTACTATTTTTGTTTCTGTGGCTGAAAAACTCTATTTTCGAAAGACTCCTCTTTCATAATGCAGTCTTTTAACGAGGTAATCTCACTAGGGGCAGGGTGAGGGGGATATCTTAAAATACATGATGATTCCTGGCTCTAAACGCTATGAATAAATGGCATCTAAACCAGCCTTTCTCCATAAATGTTACCTATTGGACCCAGTTTCCCCTCTAGGTCTATGCAAAATATGTCTAATCCTTCTTCCACATGATAGCTTTTCAGGTATTTAAAAAGTTATTTTCCCCTAAGCCTTTTTCTTTTCTGGGAAAAATCTTCTCAGTTTCTTTAATTATTTATCCTATAAGAATGTTTTGTGATCCTTAATGTCCCTATTAAGATGTGATACCCAGAACTAACAAAATATTACAGTTGTGACCTGACCAACATATCACAGTATGACCATATTCTCCCTCTTGTTCTGGACATTATAATTCTATTAAAAAACTGAAATTGCTTTTTGGAGGGGAAGGAAAGGATGTATTGGGGGGTGGGAAGGCCCAGAGGTGGAGGGGAACTGACAGCTACATCATGTTGCTGACTGATATTGAAATTACAGTAAACTAAAGTCCAAAGTCTTTTTCCTACAGCCAGTTTCTCCTATCCTGTATTTGTGAGGATCTGCTCCCCAGCCGTCACCTAGCTAGCTAAGCCCAAGCATGGGCCTTAATGAAAAAGCCTGTTGTTTGGGGACTCTTTACTATGTATGTTGGCTTCCCTGTGGGTAATAATAATGATAGAGTTTGGCAATTCCATTATGAGCTGTTCTAGGCTCATCGATGGGCTGTACTGATAAGCATAAACTTCAAAACAATTAGTTTTAACTATTTTAACACACCCCACCTCACCTCCCACCAGTATTTTATATGGCACACAATTTGGATAAAAATGTAGCAGACTTTTATGCAATCTGTTTTAGTAGATTTTCTTCTACAAACTTTGCGTAACTTTTAAAAGATAACTGAGCTTAGTTAAAGGGGAGAGAGAGAGACATTAGGAAATGAATCTGATATAGAAAGTAATGACATCAATAATGAAATATTGGGTGGGGTAACCTAATCTAAGTTGAACAAATGGATTAATTAAACAGTAGTTTTCCAAAGTAACACGAAGTAATTTTAATTCAGCCATAAGCTCAAGGGGAAAAGTGTAAATAAGTGCTGCTTTAGATTAAAAAAATGGAAAAAAGTATTTTGATATCCCAACCTACTGCAGATGAATAAATACATGAAAGGAGCAACTTGGCAAAATAAATTTGTCTCCTATGTTATCAAACCACTCTAAGGAACCTACTATAAAAGAAAATCTAGAGTTTAACTTTGAAATCTCACTGGTGTGCTTGATGCCACAGACATCTGAAATATGTTTTGCTACAGCTAGAAAATGTCAAAATGGTTTACGTTAAATAATACTTTGAACTAAAAAACACTGAAGAACCAATCATTTGCATCTCCCTCCTCAAGCTCTTTGAAACAACAAAACAAAAAAACCCGCAGAGTTGGTCCTATCTTCAAATGGGGGTAGGGGAAAGGCTGGTTCCTGTATCTTTATTAGAATTTGGGGGTCCATTTCGTTGCTTTGCCTTCTAAAGAGCTTGAATTACCAGCACCTGAGTAGCCTAAAACTAAAAAGCAGATAAATTTCATTTTCAATTCAGGACCCTGGCTTTTCTTTGTGGAAACTATCACAACAGTCTAAAATTCAAAGAAGCACCTCTGAATGACACACCTCTGAAGATTATGTAAATGACTACAAAAAGAAGCCAATCTTTGTAAAAGGCACCTGGTAGTCATTTCTCATGAAGCTTGTATAAAATTTAATAATCTTACAGGAACAAATGCATCTTAATATATCCACGCATATATAAAATGATCCATCGTCCTCTGCTAAACTACCAGTGCATTTTGTTTTTAACTGCTCACAGGAAGGCAAGATCATGCCAGTTAAATTTGAAGAAAATTCTCTTATCTGGGTAGCTGCAGACCAGCCTGTTAAGGATAACAGCTTCCTGAGTCCTAAAATCTTAGAACTTTGTGAAGATCTTCCTATTTTCTGGCTTAAACCAACACATCCAAAAGGTAACATTTTAATTTTCAGATGAACACTACTTAAAATTTCCTGGTTTTTATCTGGATCCTGTGAGTCACTCCACACTAAGCATTAAAAAACTGGGCCAATTAGAAAGATAAATCAAGATGTACGGACAGACCTTAATAATTAGCAGGCTAGATAAAACAGCAAATAAAGACAACTGTAACTGAGCATTAATGGCAGGGAAATGAGAATGAAGGAAGATATAACTATATTCATTACCTATAATTTTCATTTAATAAGTTCATTTTTTCTTTACCTTTGCCTCTGAATCTTTGCTGTTTGTTCATTTTGACTTTGCTCTTCTGCCACTGAAGCATAAAATCATTGTTCATGCATAGAACTGTGGGAAAGCTCAAGATGCTGAAAGCATACGCAAAGACTCATCACACAATTCCAGCCTTAAGCACTGGTTTTCAAATCTTAGTTTAAAAAAATAAAAAAGAAAAGAAAGAGTCCAGTTAGGCAGGTCCAAAGCTGTAAGTAAATATCCATCAAAAGGTCTATACCTCTGGTATTACACTTGGTTCGTCTCTGCTCCTGGCAAAAGTATAGCAGTCTAATAATTTTGTTTCTTTGTTAAGTATACACACCATAATAGTATTATAGGGTCCAACACATCTACTTTGGGGGTAAGGAGCAGACCTGTCATTTTACCAGTGTGGGAAGTTCCTCCCAACTTCTCAGTAACTTAAGTCTTAGGGGAGTTGCCAGGGGGAACTGAGAGGTAAAGTGACTTACTTGCCCAATGGTTACAGTGTCAGAAGCAAGACTTAAATCTAGGTATTCCTAACTCAATGGCCAAACCTCTATTCTGCTATGCTGCATTTCAGACCTATATAAAACATGCTTCATTCCATCAATATACAAATAAACACAGTGAGGAACTTATTTCAGCATCACTATTTTTTTAATTTAAAAGCCAACCCCAAAATTTATGATTTTATATACACATATATTCCATAGGCATATTTGTGTGTCCATCTATGCACATACACACACACATTTAAATATTAAAAGGAAACCAAAAAAAGGCAGTATGTTGCCATTTAGTGTTGGTCGAGATTCAAATTACAGTCACCAAATGTCTTAGAGAATGATCTTCTTGAAAGGATCAAAAAGGGAGCAAAGCAAACATATGGACCTCATTAAGTCCCTAGTGACGAAAAAGTTGTCCCTATGCCTCATTAATCTCCGTTTTCACTCCCCAAGTACCTTTAAACAAGTAAAACCAAGCATGAGCTGGACCAGGTTTGGTATTTCAGGCCCAGGTGGGTTTGCAATGGGTGGTGCTGTCTAGTACCACTAATTTTATCTCAAAGTACTGTGATAGTAAAATATCGATACCCATGCGCTGGAATAATGAAATATATTTGAGGGGGCCCTTGGCATACAGCAGTGGTACTTAAAGTATGGTCCAAGGAATCCTGGGAGTCTGAGAGACCTTTTCAGGGGATCCACAAGGCCAAAACTATTTTCATAATAATATTAAGACATTTTGACTTCTAATATGATATACATCAATGAATATAACCCACGTATACAAAAACCTGGGGAGGCAACAATAATTTTTAAGAGTGTAAGAAGGTCACCAGACCAAAAAGTTTGAGAACTGCTGGCATAGAGAACAGTGCTGGACTTTCAGGAAGACCTGCTGTTTTAAGTCTTGTGTCTAAATCTACAGAATCAGGTAAAGACTATAATTAAGATGATTAAGGTCTTTAGATGGAGGACCTATGATTTTTGGATTGTCAAAGACACAATATGGAGGCTGTAACAGTGTCGCTCTGAAGGTGCTTGACTCCCTATGTAGAAAAAGGAGCAGAGCACTGGACTTGGGAGTTGGAAGAAATCCTGTCTCATATCCTAGTAATATAACCCTAGTCAAGACACTTAACGCGAGATGCAGTTTCTTTACTGTTAAGTGGGGATAACATCATCAGGAGAATCTACCTAATAACATTATTGCAACAACAATCCAATTCAATAAACTTGGTACCTACTGTGGGTTGACACACTGTGCTGGGTGCTGAAAATACAAAGACAAATATAGGGGATGAGGTGTTGAAAGAGAGGGCAGTGTTAAGGACACTCTGAAGGTTAAGCCCTTAACTGAGAGGAGGCACTCAATAGAAAGATAGAAATTTGGAGTAAAGGTGGATTTAGAGAGAAAGGGAATTCTCTTTTGGACAAGATGATTGAAATATATAAAAGACATCAAACTAGACTATCTAGCAGGCAGTTAACAATTCAGACATTTAAGAATTGGAGTTGAGGAGAGAAACTGTAGCTGCAGATAAAGAATTTTGGGGTCACCTGAACCCATGGAGATCAATAAGAAGCAATAAAGAGAGAAAATGGCTCAGGACGGCCATTGGGGAGTGGTATCCACAATAAGGAAGGAGATGGTTACCAAGCAAAAGATATTGAGGACCAAAACCACAGAATCAGTTAGAAGAAGATCATCTTTAAGTCAAAGGCCATCTAATCCAACCTGTACCTGTTGCCCCTTCAACAAAACCAACAAACTTTGGAACGAGAAGTTTGAAAAGAGCAATGGGAGTTGAAGTCAGATTGCAAAGGGTTGAGAAGCAAGTGGGGAGTAAAGATATCAAGTGGAAGCGTCAGGGAGTAAGCTGGAAAGGGAGAAAAGAGAAGAGAGGGAAGAAGGGAAAATAAGGGGAAGAAGGGAGAGAACAAAACAATATGAACAATGGAAAAATTCTAGAAACGAAAAGGGATATAATTGGGGACACATTTGGGCAGAAGGGGAGGACAAAGATAAAAGAGTGGATGAAGATGTAAGAAAGATTTTAAAGTGTGGATGACAGATAAAGGAGCTCCCAAAGGACCTCGACTCTGAGTAAAATGGAAATGAGGACATCTTCTGAAGGGGATGGTGGTGAGGGTAGCATTGAAGGCCACAGATATTTGGAACCCCTGCTGAGAGGACCAGGTTAAAAAACGTAACTTCTGGCTCTAAATCTATAATTGGGGCACTTCAGTGAGGGCCTAATTGAGACTGGGTCCACTGTAAATTCATGTTATCTAATCAAGAGTGTGCTGTGATTTCCCCTTCCAATCAGAAATTTAGAAATAGGATAAGCAGATGAAAGATCAGGAAAGTACAAGGTGGGAATAATCCAGAGCTGAGGATGGGTAGAGTGTAAGTGGTAGGAAAAAGGGCCAAGAAAGTCAAGGGTGGAGTTGAATTGGTTAAATATGGGATCCAGACAGTGAAGAGTGGAAAGTGAGGTCAGATCAATGGATTAGGAGAGCAGGGAGAGTTGGAGGGTACAGAAGTTGAGCTGAAGATAATGCATATAAAAGAACTTTTTGAACTTTCAAGTGATATATATTTACGTATGTGTCAGCTATTATCATATTTATTAATAATAATATTCCAATAAATCTCTGAAGTTTAGGAGTACACACTTCCTCATTGCTACATTTTCTAGCTCAAAATGTCTGGGTAACAGAGACTTAATTAATAGGGGGCTCAACAAACTCATCACCGGCCATACACAGTCTTAGTGGGAATGGACTATAGCTTAAAAACTGCTTTAGCATGTCTGAGCTGTTAAGATTTCAAATTTTGTGGCATCTGTACGCTCAGTATCCACATGTCATTCTATAACACCAAAGAACAATTATGTTGCAAGGGAAGAAAATGCTGGCCTAGAAGCTGAGAGAGGTGTTCTCATTTCAGATGGCCAAGCACTCGCCTTGGACAAGTCACTGAAATTCTTGGACTCTGTTTTCTCATGCTTAAAATGAGAATAATAGTTACTGTCTCTTTCAATGGGCTGAGATGTTTTTAAATTGAATTGAGTTTGGTGAGATGTGAAAGTACCTTTCAAACAATAAAGTTCTATACAAATGTTTAAGATACACGACCAAACTTTGACTACCCTTGGTGTTTACTATCCTAGATTCTAGGATGACTATCCATTAACTTTGAAAATTCTCCTCATATCCGTATTAGGTGGTAACTAATTTTGTCTGTTTTAATGCTCACTTAGGTTATTCCATGAACTACTAATCCACTTTCCTTTTCTCTAGGGTTTAGCAGGTGGCCAGAGTACACCAATGTTAATCTTCATTTTAATATTTTTAAATTCACCTTTAATTACAATGAATAATTACAACAAGTGCCTTGATGCTTAAAATTAACTTCTTATGGAAGGAGTGCTATCATTCATTAACATCCTTTTTAAAAACTATATTGATGATATTCACCATCAAACATACTAGGGAACTGACATTCTCTCGGAAGGATAAAATTTTTAAAAGTTTTTAAAAACACAATCAATTAAATGCAATTTTCATAATCATCAAAGAAGAGACAAGTTTTTCAAATACCTACCTAAACTGTGGCCTGTGGCCTTCTGCTTCATTTTCATGTAGAAGCAGGAAGATTTGAACTTTTGTTTTTAACTAAGGAAATAAAGTAATGTCTCTTTTCCCAGAAAACCAAAGAGAACGAAGAGAAATCCTGAGAAAAATTCGTCAGCCTACTACAAGAAGACCAAATACTGGGCCACAGGGTAATCCAGGCCCTGGAAGTCCAGTTAATGAAACAAGGCCCAGTATTCAGGAGGATACAGAACCCTTCAATCCAGATAATCCTTACCATGTGAGTAGTTATGTTCAGATCAATACAGCACTTAAAATGTTTTAGAATATGTATTTTGAAACAAACATTTAACACTCAGTAGTAACTTTTTTTCTTATTTAGTAATAACTTTTAAAATACAAGCCTGTGAGAATTAAGACACCCCACCCTCAATCCCCTACCCCCACCCCCATGCAAGCCTTGCCCAAGTATAGTAAAATCTTGATAGACCCAATTGGAATTTTCAATTAACCTACATTGTTTTTCTACATAGCACTTAAGAGGGAAAGAGACAAATCTAAGAATCCAAATGTTTCAGATTTTGTTTTAGAAACCAAACACACTGAGGGCCAGAACGTCTGGCCCATCTTTTCCACCAAAGCACTTTCTCTAGCTGATTTTCTAGTATTCCGAAGCCTACAGTTAGTTACATTTCAGATCTTGAATTTGGATTCATTTGCACAGCATTTTTTCCTCAGTGACTTGAGGTTCAAGGAGTATTTTTTATCCCCAATGATGAAACGAAGGCAGGAGGAAGATTACATCATTTCTCTAGGATCCCTGAGAGTTACACCCTGAATTATTATAATTAGCTCCCCCTCTTCCACCATTAGATCACTGGGTTCCAAACTGTGCCACCTAGAGATTTAGAACAATCCCAACAAGAAATCACTAGGTGTCCCACAGAAATTAAATTGGCAGTGGTAGATTCTTTTTTTGCTCTGTGTCTGTATGCTTAATGATGCCTAATAACCACATCTCTGTACTGTAGGAAACTGCAATGTAGCACTTTCCCTTTTCAATGGCAGTTTTGGTAGGTGGCAATTCCATGAAATCAGAAGGAATTTTATATAACTTTCAAGCTTTTAAAAAATATTAAAGACTCTTCACATTAGCCTATCCTGAATTCTTGTAGCAATGAAAAATTCAGGATCTAATTCTGAAACCATGTACACAAAGTGAACTTTACATCCTAAAGAAAATACAAATAATTCTTTTCTCTTACAGCAACTAGAAGAAGGTGAAGGCATGACATTTGACCCCAAATTAGATCATGAAGGCATCTGCTGTATTGAATGCCGGCGGAGTTACACTCACTGCCAAAGGATCTGTGAGCCTCTTGGTGGATACTATCCCTGGCCTTATAACTACCAAGGCTGTCGCTCAGCTTGCAGAGTGGTCATGCCTTGTAGTTGGTGGGTGGCCCGTATCTTGGGTATGGTGTGAGGTGGTTTCCTATCTTAGGTACAATAACTAAGGCAAGAAAAAAATTGGAAATGATGAGACTACAGCTAAAGAAGTATGGAGATTCTTGGAGTTGAGGACACTTAAGTATATAGTCATGTGTCATCAGTAGTTCATTCTAGATGCCTTTATTACTCTCTACTGCTTTAAACTTCCAACGATGCAAAATATATTTTCTCTCAGTATGGGAAAAATCCACCAAAAGGGCAATATTACACCAGAAACACACATTAATCTCCTCCTTTTTTGCTGTGGAATTTGGTTTGTCAATAGTACCATTTGTTTCTAAATATCACCATCCCTCTGCTCTGAGTTACATGTGAAAAGTTATGTCCAGTTAGTCCAAAACTCAACTTCTACATTTGGAAGTACCTTTTATACCAAGTGACTGAGGAAAATAAATCACAGGTCAAGTTGTCCCCTGTTATTATTCATACTAAGTTCCAAGATCATTTTGTTTAAGACAGTCATAGCTCATCCAATTCTAGCAAATATGCTCCAGAGGCTACAAAAATGTAAGTTAGATAACAACCAAAAGAAGTTGAAAGAATAAGCTGCAGAATGGAATGTGCTAACATAAATGCTATCTATACATCTCAAAGTGGTGGCAACATGGGAAGTTCCTTTTCCATATAGTATGGTACACAATGCCATAATCCTTCAACATCATCAGCTCCAGGAAACTATCTTTAGGATGAACGTGGTCAAATTTAACCAAAGCCAAACATTCCCGAGGGTGCAGAGGGAAGGCAGAGAGAACTTTATTATCAAAATTTAGAAAAGCAGATAATCACAGCTTTTTCAACCTGCTTTCAATAAAGGGTCACAGGAATAAAGGAGGATGGTGATTTCTACCTTTGTAGTACAAATCAGGCTGTCCAATTATTAATAAATCCTTCTCTTGGTAATGGGGCTGATGCTGTTACTTAGAAGATATGGCCTAAGAAGAATAACAAATATCTTTTGAAATTAAAATATTTCTCTAACGAGAGCATGAAGAAATTTTCCATTTTTTGACATTTAAGTTCTGAGTGCCACAATTTTAGAGAGCCATAAAAACACTTTTCTAAAGAAAAAATTATAAGTTGCTTTCGGGAAGATTTATAAATATGAGCTGAGGAAGTGGAAAGGAAGATCATCATGCTCCTGAAACATAATAATTTTGAATGTACCATACTTATGTGCTGATGTGATAATTCTTATTTTTAATAAATTACACACTGCTGCCAATGAAAGTATATAAAAATGTTAAAAGATATTTACAGCCTTTTCTTTCTAACTTGATTACTGGGTCCTTGTTCACACACTTGCATTCAGTGACATGGGACATGAAACACTGCAGCAAGAACCAAGAAGGAGCAACAGCTTAAAGCAGAAATAGAATCTGTACAGTCAGCATATTCTCAGGCAACAGAGAATCTTTAAGGATGTTAATGGACAACTAAAAATGGTTGTCATTCTATTGCAGAAGACATTCTCAAATGATATACTTTGTCATAAACTTCATCAACTGATAGAAACATAGGATGGAACATTCTAGGGGGTTGAAAAATCGTTAAATACAAACTAAAGGAACACCATCGGTGTTAGAAAACAAACTACGTATCTGGGAGTATTAGGAGAGAAAGTGGTGGAGGAGAGCTGGGACTGGGTTCAAGGCAGGAAAGATAGAGGAAGGTAATCTACCTGTGTTGAGGGGAATGAGGTTCAGGGAAAGGCAGGCTTTTGCCAGGACAGGATGAGATCCTGGGAGGGCCTAGAAAGAATATGTGGTAAAGGGAAAGGAATTCCTGCAGCTCAGGAATTACTAGGATAGCAGTAGGTTATTCTGAATGAGATTACGTTACTAATGAAACTCACTGTGGTAAACTGTTATTAGTCAATTATCTTAATTGACTGTTTAAGAGTCTTCTGTAGACTAGGTGAGAACAGGAAGATAGAGAACACGGACAGAAGTGACAGACTGCCACTGTTACCAAGGTGAATAGAAAGAAGTACAAAAAGAGAAGGCTGTGGACATAAGACTAACTTCAAAATATTTACAGCTTTGCCTAAGAGGGACCGTTTCTCTTTACTTAGGATAGAAAAAGGGAAAGCCTAGCATAAGACACTTATAATGGCACTACAAACACAGACATTCTTTTGTTTTTTTAGCTGATAAATTCTGAGAAATCAGTTAATCAGCGTATACAGAAATTACTATTAGATGAGATGCATTTTGTTGTGACATCTGCATTAGAATGATAGACTCTTAAGCTTAGAGATCACCTACCTAGTCCAACTTCCCTCCCATGGCATTTCTGATGAGATGTCATGAGATACTTATCACCTCTCATCTGCCTATTGCAAGTTTCCTAATCGGTTTCTCTGCCTCCACTCTACTCCCCCTTCACTCAGCTACCAAACTGATATTCCCCAAAAGCAAGTCAGTACCCTTCTCATAAACCTATTACCTCTATGATCTAAAGTCCTTTATCACCCAATTGCCTTTCTAGGCTTATCATTATACCCACCCCACCCCCAATACAGTCTATGAGAGTCAAACTGGCCTTCTTGCTGTTCTTCACACTTAGCATCCCCCTTTCTGTTTCTGTGCTTCTGCACAGGCTGTCCCCCACACTGGAACAGATTCCCTGCTCTCCTCTGTCTCAGAATCCTGGGTGGACACAAAGCTTGTCTTATAGACCCCATCTCCTACATCAGGCCTTTTCTAATTCCTCTTTTTCCTCTAATTCCTTTGCTAAGTTCCTCTCCCGTGAAATTGCTTCGTATCTATTTGGAATATGCTTATATATGTACATTCTGCCCCCCAACAAAAGCTCTTTTAGGCCTTTTCTTTTTGTCTTTGTTACTAGTGCCTAACAAGTTGTTGGTGCATAACAAGTGCTTAATAAATGTCTACTGATTGATTTAGCTAATGCTAAGTTTCTTTATACTGAACTGAAATCTGCCTCCCTCTAATTTCCACTCATATCATGTGGTATTTTAGTGTCTAGTGTGCAATGTGGTAATCCAATAAATATTAAAACACCACCACAAAGATACCCCTACTACTGTCATTTCACAATTTAAACAAATCCTGATTGGAGTTTTTAAAAGGCCCATGGCTATTAATAATTTGGCTCAGAGAAAGGGCTACTCAACTCATATAAGAGAGCTGCTGTCTATTCTTAAAAGATACAGCAGACCTGTAGACGATGCAAAAATAAATGCCCTGCAGGGTGCATGTTGTGCATAAAAGATGCTCTATATGACTCACTTTAAAATGTCACACTAAAATACTGTAATATTCTTTTATTGCTAATGTAAAGAAATCCTTGTTCAGACCCCTGATTTAGTTCCATACAACAGTCTGGACGTTAAAAAAGTAAATATATTCAGAATAACCATTTATGCCATTCAAAACTTTCTCTCACCATAAGATTTCATTACACACTGAAATACAAGCTACATTTCTTACCAAAGACAACATTTCTCATGTGCATGGCCTAATACTTAATTTTATGTGCTTATTTGTATATATGTTCAGAGACATGTTGTATGCACACATTTACAACTGGCTACTTTAAAAAAAATTCTCTTATCTTTGTGCAGCCAAAACTACACTGACATAGTTCCATACCCCAAACATGAAGCATCCTAAGTTCTCTCGCTGCTCTGAAGGCACAAGTTTTAAAGCTCCTGGGGCTCAATGCACTGACATGCCGTGCCTTAAAGCTTCTTGGAAATCACACTTTAGCAGAAATATTCACATGCAAAGTCTGAAAACACATTAAATCCTATTCAAGGACTTTCGTACACATGATTCAAAGAATGTTAGAAGGGTTCTTAAAAAAAACCCAACTAATCCAATGTTCTTATTTTATCAGTAAAAAGGCCCAGGTGGCTGAGGTAACTTCAACTCAAGGTCACATATACAACATGGGCCTCAGATTAAGGAAACATAGTGTATAAAATAGGTTAATCAGTAGTTCATTATTTACTTTCAGAAAATATTCACCAAAACTTTTCATTAAATAGCCAGCTCCCTTAGTAAAATTAGGATGTAATTTATGTACAAAACAACAGGAACTCCTATTGCATGAAGTAAAGGATTCATGCATATGCAAGTAGTTATGCAGAGTGTTCTAAAACTCTAAAATGGTACTTAAGCTTTTGGATCATTTTGTATCTTCTGGTCAACCATGTATAAAATTAACATTCCTTTTAATGGTTTCTAGACATTAATTCTTTGTTCACAACTTAATGATTTAGTGATCCACTATACAGGTGCCATGTATAGAACACTGGACCTAGAGTGAAAAAGACCTGAGTTCAAATCCAGCTTTAAACACTTAACTAGCAATGAGACCCTGAGCAAGTCACTTAATCTCTGTCTGTATCAGTTTCCTCATCTGTAAAACAGAGATAATAATCACACCTACTTCTCATGATTGTTGTGAGGATAAATAGACAATTTTGATAAATATACAGGCATAGAAGGAAAAAGAGTTAGGTGAAGGAAGTGGCAGCCATATGAATCGGGACTGAGCTAAAGCTATGGGAAAGTGGATGAAGGTGGGAAGAAATAAACTATGCAGACAGAGCACTCACTGGCTATGCAAGATTGAGGGGAGTGAGTTTTTACCCCCTCAGATGGTGGTTAGTAACCATGATTTTACCACACTTAGTTGATGATCATTGATATTAAGGTCAATATAATTTAATGATGTTAAAATTTTGAGTTATCAAAATGTCACCATCAGATGAAGAAAACATTTTCCCAAGTGTCAGACAGTATTCTAATTCTAGTTCTACTGCTAATCAGTTCTATCAACAATGACAAAATATCTTAGTGTCAATTTCAATTTGTACAAATGATAAAAAAATAAAATTTGCTCTTTATGCCCATAGGAAGTCAAATGACAACTTAAGATGTGAAAGCACCTTAAAGTGGTAAAAGTTCTAAACAGATGTAAAAGACTGACTAGCTATGTCATTTCAAACAAATCACAATCTCTTTGAACCACTGTCCTCATCTCTGAAATGACGGGATTGGGTAAAATGATCTACAAGGTCACTTTCAGCTCTCAAATTCTATGAGATTCTCTCTCTCTCTGTTCCCTCAAACATGATGGGGTTACAAAACACCTTTTCAGTACAGTTTTACCTAACAAAGAAAGCTACTTCTTTGTTCTAAAACCCAGCCCAGAAAAACAATGCTTTCTTGTTTTAATTTCAAAAATTCTGCTAAACAAAATCTTTGTAAAATAAATGTTTCCAAGTCTTCATCCAGAAATCAGCATTTTATTCAATCAAAATGTTTCTTAGGTTCTGTATTTAGAATATACTGGCATTCTAAGACAGAACTATTTTCATTAATTATAGGCCTACATTAAAATGCAGCATTACACATAAGTAAATGTATGAAAAGAAAATGAATGGAAATTGGGTGTGTAGTAAGTTAAAGGACATTCTAATACCACCAGAGAAAGTAGTTTAACAGAATTCAACAGAAAAGGTCTGGTCTTCAAAAATATTGTCCTATCTATCTAATCCTTTGAAGGATAGCCACCATAAATGTTTTCTAAAGCTGACTTGAGGTTTTTATTTCTGATATTAGGGCTACTACCACCATGGTATATTTGGCTGCTTATTTTTTTAACCTTTTGAATCTGTTCTGCTCCTGGTAAGCTCCCCAAGGGTAAGAAATGGCTTTTTTAGTGTACCCTAGCACAGTACCATATGCCTTCTTTGAATTACATTAGTTGAACAAGGAAGAGATGACAACTATATGTATTGGAAATATTCACGTTCGCATGGAAATATTCACTTGGCGTTCTGTGTTGAAATGTGTTTTGCAAGGAAGCATTAGAACAACGATAAATTCCATAAAGGACAAGTGGATGATATAGTAAGCTGGGTTTAAAGTATAAGCAAACATAGAGCTTGGCTGAATTGTGAACCAAGACTTTCTATTATTTTTTTTCTCTTACTTTATTCCATTACCAAACAAAGAAAACACCTTTTCATCTGCCTTTTTGGTACGAAAGACTAAACAGTAGTTGCTCTATTGTGACACAAAACTACCACCAAAGGGACATATTTGGTTCTCTGTACCTGAAAAACTCTGCACAACAGTTCTTTAGTGTTTTAAGACAGTTACATCCTTAAATGGAAATATTTCTACTCGGGATTTCACCCTCCTAAAAAAATGGTGCCTACATTTGTTAAATGGTCTCAGTCACTGGTGGTTCTCTACTCTTCTACACTTTTCTAAACTCAGTCCCTCATAAGAATCATTTGGAGGAAAAAAAGAGTAGACAATAAAAAAAGAAAACATTTCATGCAGTCTCCCATTTATGTACAAATACATTGCTACTTTTTAATTATTCACAGATTATCCACAGCCAACTTTCACTACAACTTAATTTTTACTAAGCACTTTTACCTGTGCTATCTCCCCCTATTTTTAGGCAAGAAATATATGCTAATAGTAATATTATATTATCCTAATTTATAACATAATTAGGAATGTAAATCTCCCAGGAAAAAGAAATCCTCCATAATGAATGAGTTAAATATAAGGTCACTTTTTTCCTGGTTACCTCTTCTTTTCAATTATCCACACTATAGCTCTTCTCTATTTGCACAGCTAATTAAAGGTTGGTCATAATTAGATTCTGTTCAAGTGGACTTAAAGCCTAGAAAACTACAAAGGCAGTGAATTTCTATCATCCTGGTGCTGATTATACAATTTGGGGGTGATCCAGAACTCTTCATTTGTTTACCTTTTGAGGAATTTCACTGTTCAACAGCATCTTTAGGAAGAAACGGCAAAGATATTCTAGTCATTTTGATATTAATCAGCACCTCTGGAAAAAGCTTTGAATGGTAGGAAATTCAAACTTCTGACTAAAATGAATTCAGATTAGGAATTTCAAAGAAGCTAGTACTGACAAAGCCGACATAATCAAATGATTACCCTTTATGAACCAATGAACGTAGTCATAAACAGTCATCTCACAAAAGGGCCTAATTAAGAAAATGTATGGATAAATCCATCATCACCATCAAGTAAGAGAAAAAACCCTCAAAAGCACAGTGTACAGGTAAGTCACTTTTTTAAAAATACAATATAATCTTTACCACAGGCATCAATAAGCAAAGGTTAGCTTATAAATCCATTAAGTCTTAGGAACAAAAATGCAAAGAATAGAGGCAGCTAGGCGGCACAGTAGATAGAGCACTGGCCCTTGACTCAGGAGGACCTGAGTTCAAATCCGGCCTCAAACACATAACACGCACTAGCTGTGTGACCCTGGGTAAGTCACTTAACCCCATTGCCTAGCCAAAAAAAAAAAATGCAAAGAATTCTCTAACAATCCCAACTATTCACTGGTAAACATCTAACTAGGGTTAAATCATCATATAGTTCTGTTTCCACCATAAAGAATTTAAGAGTTATTAACATTAGTTGATTGTGCATGCCCAGGGTTCCTCAAGTCAGGAAGATAAGTTCATTTAAATCCCACCAGTAATAGTTGCTAGCCATGTGACCATGGGCAAGTCACTTAACTTCTCCTATCCTCAATTTCTCCATTTGAAAAATGGGGGCAACACCACCTATAGTTCCCTAATTCACAGGATTATTAAGGCTCAAATGAGATAATACGTGTAAATCTTCTGCAAAATATGAAGCACTTTATACGCCAGTTATTATTCTTCTACCAAATGCCAATTTTCGTTAAGATTTTATTATTTAACCATGTAATAATCCCTAGTGGATAAGAAGTCAAAGAAATATAAAGACAGTTTCTCAAAAGCACAAAATAATAATTATTTGAAAAGCTATTCAAATCTTTAACATTTAGAGAAATGAAGATTAAAACAACTGTGAGATTTCTTTCACATTCGTCAAATTGGCACATATATTTTAAAACTACAAATTCAATGGTTGTGGGGCAAATAGTATGCTATTATACTTTTGGTAGAACTATAAATCTGAAGAGTAATCTGGCAATGTATGATAAAAGTTACAAAACTGATTATAACCTTTGATTGTGATTATACTCAAAAGACTA